TGAATTCCGTAGATCCAAATTTCCATCCACTGTCATTTCCCTTCAGCCTGAAGAATTTCCCTTCACATTTCTTGTAGCTCAGTGCTTCTGGATGATTCTCTCAGTTGTAAATGATCTAAAATTAATTTTATTGAACCTTACTTTTAAGGGACATTCTCACTAGTGCAGAAGAGTAGGATGGCTTTTTTCCCCCACGCACTTGGGATGCTGTTCCATTATCTTCTTGCATCGTTTTCTGATGAAAATCCAGCCCTCATTCTTCCCACTGCCCTCCCACGTGTCATCTCATTCTTTCCTTTGGCTGCTTTTCAGATTTTTTTATTTATCTTGAGTTTTGAGAAATTTGACTATGATGTGACTAGGTATGGTTTTCTTTGTATTTATCTTGCTCAGAGCTTGTTGAACTACTTTGATCTGTGGATTGACTTTTTTTATAATAAAGTTTGAAAAGTTTTGACTGTTATTTCTTCAAATAATGCTTGCATCCTGTTGTTCCCCAGAGGGGAATCTCTTTTTCTGGGAGTCTGATTGTATGTATAGAAGACGACCTGTTATTAGCACACAAATCGTTGATGCTCTGGATAATTTCTATTAACCTGTCTTCAAGTTCAATGACTCTTTCTTGTATAGTGAACGATACTCTGGTCCATCCAGTGAATTGGCTTCAGATGCTATATCTTTTTATTCTCGAATTTCATTTTGTTCCCTTAAAAAAAATTTTTTTTAACGTTTATTTATTTTTGAGAGAGAGAGGGAGGGAGCACAAGTGAGGGAGGGGCTGAGAATAGAGGGAGACACAGAATCTGAAGCAGGCTCCAGGCCCTGAGCTGTCAGCACAGAGCTGGACTTGGGGCTCGAACCCACAAACTGTGAGATCATGACCCGAGCCGAAGTCAGACGCTTAACCAACTGAGCCACCCAGGCGCCCCATTTTGTTCCTTTTTAGAGTTTCCACTTCTTTCCTGAAAAAAACTATCTGTTCACCTATTATGCTTATATTTTCCAATATAGTTTTTAACACTATTATGATACTTGTTTTAAAATCTTTATCTGCTAACTCTAATAACTAAGCCATCTACTTCCATAGGCTGTATTTTCACTTTATTATTCTCTTTTCCACCCTTTTTATTTATTTATTTTTTTTGCATGCTTTGGAATGTGTATAGTATTCTAGACATAGTGTAAAAAAGTACAGTAGAGTCTGAAATACAAACATCATGAATTCATTTTTCTCTGAAAGCATTTTATCTTATATTTGATCAGTGGATTGATCAGATTCTTTCTAAAATTGAGTTGATGCTGAGCTGAATCTCTAATTAGATTGTACTCATCTGAGGTTAGCACATCCCCAACCTGTGTCTAAGCTCTTTGTCGTTGTTGTTGTTGAATATTATCGGTATTTGATCTGGGAGTAAGTTGGTCTGCAGTTTCCCATATTTTGGGTTCACATTTGGGCTTAACTCTGACGGTGTCTCAGAATACAAGCACCACAAGAATATGTGGGTATATGTGATGTTTCTTTTTACTAATCAGTCCCTCCTGTAATGCCCCTTCCTTGGCAAATTTGGAGATTGGAGAATTACCAGACCAAGCAATTTGGTTTTGTGTCTACAGCTCATCTAGGTTTCATGCTGTCTCACACACCGACATTTTCATATAATTTTGGAATGATTTCTCTTCATTCCTGAACAGTCTCTCCCTGGCAGTCCTGTACTTAAATCAGGCACTCACCATAGGTATGAACATTGCCATTGCTCTTTACTTACATATGAGATGCTTGTTTCTGTCTAGACTCTATCAAAGCTTCCTTGCATACATTGGACTTGCCCATTCAACAACGGTGATTATTTTGTCTGACTTTTCTTGTTTCTGTGAGAGTCATTTACATCTTTCTACATCCTAACTGGAGGCAGAAGTTCCTCACACGTCTTGAATTGTCAAATAATGAAAGATCATGTAAGGTAAGGTAAGATTCCTTACCTTTTCAGGTGTCAGGAATTTAAAAGACTATACCTATCTGAGTGACATCAATACCGAGGATAACCTACACACTCAGGGCATGATACCAGAGTCAGTAACCACCCCATGAGCTACTCCCTCCTGGGAAACTATGTGTGACTTCCTTTGCTCTCCCAAAGCAGTAAGTTTTTACTCTGATCAGACTCGGTGGCCAGAATTTCCAAAGCCAGGTCCAAATTTCAGTACTCCAAGTTATTGGGAAACATTACTTTGTGTTTTTCAGTTGTCTGGTTGGTGCTCTGCAGTGTGCATATGAAAACACGTGCTTCAGAAAATAGCTCTTTTACAGTATTTCTATGCAGTCCTGCATTTTAGTGAAGTCCCCATATGCTCACAATAGCTGGATAATTATGAATGCCTTCTACCTGTTACTGAAATTGCTAATGAAGTTTTGAGTACCAGAAAATAACCTTACCTTATCTTAGTTCTTTAAAGTAAGCTCAACTAGATGTCTTCACTTCTTAAAATAATTTGCTGGAAACAACATCCTTAATAAAGTTTGCTACAAGAGAGTTAAATGTAAGTGTGATGAAAAATGATCATTTTTTTTTTCTGGCGAGTGTACTGCTTATAGCATAATGACTAAAATTTTTTGTAATATTTTGAATTTATCAGTGGAACATTTTCTGATGAATTACATCTGCAGCTCCTTCCCTTTCAGTCATGTTTATACCATACCATGATGTGAGTCAATTCTGCCTTCATATAAGAATATTTTAATCAGCCCATCTCCAGAATACGAGTCCAATAATTATTTTTTAAAGTTTGTCCATTGCCAGTCTTATGATAGTTCAGGTGGCATTATTATTTGGAATGAAGAGTAATGATGCTTTTCATGGTATGGGTTCCTCAAACTAAGTCTTATCTTTTGTGATGCCAGACCAGGCCTTCAGGAAGTATCTAGCTAGATTTGTAGTTTCCTGCCTGCCTCTTCCCTCATGAGGCAGGAAAGTGTAGAATGCCCGGTGTATATCTCCCAACCCCACCCCAGATATACTGAAAAACAGAGGAAGTGTTAGCCACAACACATTTTGCCGTTTGTAATCCAATAAAAGGGGCCATAGACCAAGGACATGATTCATTCTGGATAATTCTGAAAACAAAAACTCACTTTGTAAGTTTGAATGCCACACTCCCAGGATAATTCCCAGGACCCCTGTGGACAGGATAGAAGAGGAGGAAGGCACTTTTCTTTCCAGGAATTCATTTGTCATGCTCATATTGACATGTTAGAATTCCAGCATATGGCATCAGTTTTTATTTTCCTTTATGCTTCCCAGTTTTTCTTACTCTCAAGAACATCCTCACAGTCAACAGGTGCAGTATTTATAAAATTTATGATTTCTCAAGTTATCTCAGTAGAGGCAGCGTGGCTATTCCCATTCTAAAGGCACTGTGAAAGTTTCAAGGACTGAAAACCATAGACTGGGAATATCAGATCTGCACTTGTTTAGGCCTATAAGCTTGTGTCCTTTCTTTATTAGAGTTTTGGTGAATGCTTATATTTTCAGTCAAATTTTTCAAGAAAAGTAAACCTAACAGTGTTCATTCAGTAAATTCTTATTATTATAGGCCAGTCACTGTATTAAATAATTTAGCTGAATTATTTAACCTTTGCCATGACATAGCCCCGTGACATAGAATGATCTTCCTTCCATTTTAGAGATGAAGAACTAAAGCACAACGAGGTTAGGTGATGCATGCAAGGTCAGCACTGGGGATTAGGCTCGAGCAGTGTGAGTTCCCAGCCCAAGCTCTCAATATGGTCTAACCACTGCTCCACAGTTTTTTAGGATGTCCCTCTAAAAAGTTGGCTAGCATACATATCTGAGCCAAATAACTACCATGGTGATTTCCTAATGATTTTATTAAATTATTTGCTATCACTGTAATAGATTCTTATTGAGTGTCTCAACAAATTTATAAGCCAGAGATAATTGTTGTTATAGGTTATGGGTAAAGAGAAAAGACAATACAAAAGAAAAAAAAAAAAAAAAGGAAATGTGGGTATGTGATTGTCAGAATGTAGGAGTCAGGTGGGTTGCCAACATTACAAGGGAGTCAGATTTGTCATTCTTCTGTTATAGACTAAGGTACCTCCCAGGTGATGGAGAATGAGTCTGGAAAAGAAATTATTCAAAGCAGCTGCATATTTGTCAGGTTAGGACATACCTACAGTCTTGTCAAAGGAGGAGAGCCAACCAGTGCCAACCAAATGGGATGATCATGGCAGAGGAAAACCTCGTTGGAGCTCAGCAGTGTGCTTCTTAATGAGTGTTCTAACCTGCCTATTCCTGTATAAATGGGAGTTCTGTCTGCAGCTTGAGCTTCACACAGCTCCTCAACCATGTGTGAAGTGCACCGCATCGTGTCTCAAGTATCCACAGCGGCTGAGAACATGCTAAAGGAGCTCTTGCTCCCAGAGAGTAAAAGCCTGGAGAGAGTTCCACTGACAATAAGCTGAAGTAGTTGAGAGAACAAAGACTGCACGTGGGGCAAATACATTAAAATCAGATTATTCTAAATGGAGTTTCACTTACCTATGCAAAGCAGTGCAATAATAAAGCAGGGGAGGTAGAGTAGAATCATCAACATTAGTTATAACCTGCAAAACCAAAGATTAGATTCCATGTTGATAAAATAATAGGAAGACCACCGAACCTGGGCTCTCCATCTCGGTGGATAACAAATATGCCGAGGTGGCCTTCTGCAAGACATATCACCTCAATCGTCACCACCTCTTTGGTTATGTTCTCTAGGTTGAATTGTAAATCCTATCTAATCATATCTAAGATATACAGGTAAATTTATTAAGTACTTTCTAAATATTTTTCAAGTACATGAATGGAACTATGCATCCAGTATGTAATGTACAGTTATTGAACATTAACTCTGGGCCTGCCGCCATTTTGGTACTTCTGGGGGCTGTTCCCACTTATACCCAAAGTTGCCTTCCGTCACCCAACTTTCCTTTTCCATAGAGCAAATTGGCCAGGAGATGTTGGAAAACCTCAGTCACGACAGAGAAAAGATACAGCGAGCACGTGAACGAGTAAGTAGAAGTGATACCGTTTTTTTCAGAAGTTCAGTAAATAATAAGGCATAGAAGGCACATGCATAGACAGTAACAGTGACATAGATGCAAGTGTGTATAAAAAAGGCAAGGGTGGATGAGGGATGTCGAGTAAGGGGAGAAGAGAAAAAAGAGTGTGCAATGGAGAAAGAATACGCTCTTTCTTTCCCCATCCCAGAATGCCCCCAGGTAGATATTTTATTTAGCTCTATAACTGAGAAGGTCATGAGGGAGATTTTGGAGTATGTCAAGTCTTTCAGGGTGAAAGCTGTAAAAATAATGATGTCTCATCTTCACTTAGTTCATTTCGTTACCGTTTATATTTCTAGGACTTTGCACATTTTAAATTGGATTTTAATTACCAGATGTATATTCAACTTTATCAGCCTGCAAGACATTTGCTTTTATAGCCAGTTCAAGTATCCAGCTTAAAGCTCCTGGGATCATCTATTACATGTAATTTTCTAAATCAAAGAATTTTCAGAGACTGTGTAGGTAACAAGGTGTATTTTAGTGTATTTAAGTATTTTTTTATTAATTGGATTTTCATCCGTGAGAAAAACTCCTGCTTGCCAGTGCACTTTCGATACGATCCAACTGCATGAAGTCTCACTTTGTTTTGTTTTAATGCTGCTTTTCTCCTTCTAGCTTCGAGAAACAGATGCTAACTTGGGGAAAAGCTCCAGGGTCCTGACGGGGATGTTGCGAAGGTAAGAGCAAGGTAGGGACCCATCTTCCTCTCTCTCCCTTTTTTGAAACTGTGTTTTTCATCTAGTTGCAACTGGGCATTTTCCAGGCATGTGAGCCTCTGCTCTTAGTACCCTGTGTCAAGACCCTTTTGAAATGACAGAGCACTGATATTAACTCTTGTTTGGACAGGGACACATACTGAGTAACTTAGATTAGAGAGAAGGTTTGAGCTAGGGGGTTTACCTCAAGCTATGGAAAAAATTAGGGTTAGACATGAAGTACTTTTTCATAGCCTGAGGAAGTCCCCATGGCAGGAGCAGACTGATTTTATTTTCTATTTCAATAGCCTCCTTCTCCTAGAAGGAATGCGGGCCTGCCAGTATCATGAGCACACTTGGTATTAGCTTTGCTCTCTCCCTGTTGCCTTGTTTTCATTTCTTTTTTAAGAGACACTGTTTGGGGAAACATTTCAATCGTATATATACTTAAAGATGATGTTTACAATTTAAAGATTATCTGAATAATATGAATTCACATGTGCGCGCGAACAGATGTTAATGTTTTATGTGTGCAACTAACCTTCGACTGATGGAAAACATTCAGGAGAGTATGCGGAAATAAGTGAATGAATATGGGTAATATTCTATATTCTGTGTTTCTGGGGGAGGGGAGTGAGAAATGTGTTTTCACTGTTCTGAAAGTCAGAGACATTTTTTACGTAGGTGTATTTAGCGTGGCATTTTCTTACGTTCGGAATCTACCAAGGAAGGTTATCATCTAGCACAGCCTTCGGTTTAGAACTGTAGCTCGCAGTGTGAATGAGAAAGGTTGAGAATCGCTCCACAACAGCTTAATTGGAATTTTAAAGAAGAAATCCTTTAGCATGGACACTATAGAGACAACTAATTTAGAGAAAGGAAAGTCTTGTCTGATCACGTATCTGTCTGTATGTAAGAATTCGCTAGAAGTGTGTTTGCTGTGTTCGTGATGGACAGCACAAGACCCAGTCGTAGGGTTGCTTGGTCTCCATCAGGCTGATAGGTCTTGAGCCTGAAGTTCCTGGGACACTCCAAACCAACACTGGCCTAACTCCACAGGCCCCTGATTTTCCTGCAGGCACAGTCCCAATTCAGCACCATAAGCCACTGAATCCTCTGCTTAAGAGTAATACACAAATGACCTAGAAAAACGCAAAATCCACAGAGAAGTGGCAATTGAGGGGAAGGGTTCAGTGCCTATAGACAATAAAAACGAAAAAAAGGAAAAAAAAAATCCTCTATTGCTTCCCTGGGAGGGCCCCTGCGATGTGAGTTGTAACGAGTATTCTGCCTACGTCTCCATTTTGTCAAATCTCATTAAAGAGTTTATGTCAATTGAGCTGTCCAGAAATCATTCATCATTTTTAGTGTAAAAAAAAATCATGCAGTTATTTAAATAATATCATATTAATGTTAAAGTTCAGCTGTCATTTAATGGTATGGCTTAATCAGATGTAGCATTTAGGAAAAATAGTTTCTGCGGGCTCTACGTGGCTTTCAGGTTGGCAGATTCAAATAAGGATTTATGAGTTTCTGAACCAATGTATTTCTGTCCATGTTTCTGCTTGATGTACCTCACCCTTTTGTGCAGGACACTGCAGACAGTTATTTCAGCAAATAAAGCATCTCCTCATATTGTGTTTGAATAAATTTGCAAGTCATTTAGAGAGGGTGAAGCGCAGACGCCCTGCAACCTTTGACTGGGCTTTCTGTAGGGCAGTCATACTAACGCGCCTGTTTCATAAGCCTACAGAGGGAAATTACTCCACCGAAACCCACTTGGGGTCCTCTTTGTAGGCAAACTCAGTCCATCACTGACTCGTCTCCTTTTGGGATCTGTCTAGAGAGTGAATAGAAATAAAAATCTTCAGGTGGACATCACCTTGCTGTGATGAGCCAAGGAAACTCTGAGGCCCTCCTGTGCGTAGCAGCGATCGTGTTTTTTACAAGACTCAGCTAGGATCTTGGTATCAGCCAAGGTATCCAGATACTCTTAATGCTGTACCTTCACTGAGTCTCTGGGGAACCAAAGGCAGATGGTGGTTTTGTTTGGTTCCTAATTACTTATCCCACCTGATATACGGTTTATTTTGGTCTTGGGAAAAGGCAGAAATGTTTGATCAACTTCTTCACTCCATTGTTTTTATTATTCCCTGGAAAAACAGTCTCTAGAGAAATGGGACCAGCTTTTATGTCCCCAAGTCTCTTATTGAATACTCTGATTTTGCTTCCTCTGTTACATCCCTCCCATTCGCAGGGACTTCCCTTCCAGCAATGGTGAGATTTTAATTCAGAGAGAGAAATCACATTCTGTTACCAAAACCACATCGCGACGTTGTGCATCAGCAGTTGCGTCTAAGTTAAGGTGTAATACCAAACCACGCGCCCATCTGTCACCTTCGCAAGTGTGTAAAGGGAATGAACGTGCTCCTCGTGCAGTGTTGGCATCCACCTCGATTACACGAGCTTATTTATTTGCATGTGATGAATTGTGTATGACCGAGAATATTCTACTAACATACTAAACCAAGGAATTAATTTATTTAGAGGAAAGATTGCTGATTATTTTTAATTTTTTTAAATTAGGTTGCTTTCAATTCTGTATATGGAACGGAAACGTTCCATATACAGAATGATGGCCTTTGCCCCTCATTTGGGTCATTTTGTTTTGATTAGCCTGTGGTGAAGACAGGTGAGACCGATGTTCCGTCAATGTCAAAGTCTGTATATAAACCCACCTGGTTATCTGCAAGACTGAAAGCAGAGAGGGAAATAAAAATGAGTAAGTGACAGCCACCACCATTCATGCTTTTTTAATGTTTTATTACCATCACATGAGGTAAAAAAAAAAAAAATCTATTTCCTTCTTTTCTCTCTCTCTTCCTGCTTTTCTTCCTTCCTTTCTTCTTTCTGCTTATTCACTTCCTCAGTAAATACTTAACGCTTGGAAACAAAGCCTTGGGGAATCCTCAGATGAAATCAATTCGATCCTTGCCCTCAGTCCTGCTGGAGAATCCATACTGTGGGAATTCCTAGAACTACCTCCTTCTCAAGGAAACTTCTGAGGATTCCTTAACTCCAGCAAATGCTTACTGGTCGTTAAAAACGGTGGCAGGGAAACAAATAACCAATAGAAAATATCACCTAAATAGCTATAAAACCAATACGTTTCAAAAGTTTAGAGAGGTAGGAGGTTTATACAATCATAAACAAGCTTTGAAAGGAACTAACCAGGCAAAAAACACTGAGGCATACCTAGTTTAGTGAAGCAGCAGCTGATTCAACTAAAATAAATAAATAAATTGTTCTTCCTGTAACGTTGCTATATTACCAAAAAGGAGAACGCAAAGGAGAAAATTGGTCCATTCAAAATTATGATAGTGAAACTTGACATCAGAACACAGATATAGCTGATTTCCTGGAAAGTAATTTTTCTTCTGTCTTGACAGAAGATAGAGAGCTGGCTAGGGACAAACGGCTCATTTCCTGACCCTATAGACAGAGTTTTAAATAAAGTGCTATCCAGATAATAACGAAAATGGTCATGAAACAAATGGCTATTCGTGTGGTGACTGGAGCCGAAGAAATGAATTTTTCACGGACTCTCACAAAATGTGATTATTGCAACTGGGGTTGTCTTGAGGTGTCACAAATAACACTGAGAGGCTTAGATGTTGCTCTTCATAAACTTGCATGTATTTGCACGTTTGTGTGTGTATTATTTCCTGTACATTTGACTGGGAAGTCAAAGAGCAAACAGAGTGGGCAATCAGTGAAAATAAAAATAGCAGTTTTTGACATTTTCAGTCAGAAAACAAAAGACATCATGATTCTGGTTTTTTGGGGGATTTTTTTTTTGTTTTTGTTTTTTTTACCTCTGAAGAGTGAATAATTTATTGGTAACAGTATATTTGTTTCTAAAAGTATCTTGGGAATACAACAGTTATAATTTGAGATCTCCTTTGACATAAATTTGGAGGGCATGCTACAAGTTTATGTTGGCTGACAAAAGGCTTACAAAAAGAAATGGCGTATGTAATAGTTTTAAAACATCTTTTTCTATATGATTACCTTAAAATCAAATAATTTCCTCTCTCCCACCCGCTCCCTGTGTGTGCCTCTACTATTTTAATTTTTTTCAATTTTTTTGAATTTAAAAAATAAAAACAGTGTTTCCTTCAAACAGTGAATTCTTGCTCATTCTTCCAGAATGCATGTAGTAACTTGTTAAAGCATGTAACTGGTGAGAGGCCTTTTGAAACTAATCTATAAGATACACAAACCAGGTAGTATTAAATGCTGTTGGCCTAGCAAGCACTATTCATGTGTTATTATTTATTACATGTATTTTTTGTTAGAACTACTTTGGAGCCAGTCTGGGGAGTAATTGCCACCTACTATCTCTGTAACGTTTTCATTTTAAACATGGTTTTGTTGCTTTGGTAGAATGACAGGTAAAACATCTGGAAAATTTAAATGTACTATCAAAATGATCCGTAAGGGTAAACGTACCAGAAATACCAACACAAGATCTGTAAGCAATGGAAATACAAAAAAAAATTGTTTGTTTAGTAAACAAATTTTTTCTTAAAGAGGGGCACCTGGGTGGCTCCCTCGGTTGGGCGTACAACTTCGGCTCAGGTCATGATCTCGTGGTTTGTGAATTCAAGCCCCGCGTCGGGCTCTCTGCTGACAGCTCAGAGCCTGGAGCCTGCTTCGGATTCTGTGTCTCCCCGTCTCTCGGCCCCTCCCCTGTTCATGCTCTGTCTCTCTCTGTTTTTTCCAGCTGTTGCTCACAGATAGTCAGACAGCCTTGCTAGATGAGCAGAAAGCAGTGAACAAACTCCACCAGACCCCACTAGCTAAGATGGGCCTGGTCTCTATAGACATGGAAGCTGTTGTGTACCAATGGCGTCCAAGGGGGTGTGTTTTTGAGGAGTCCTTTAAGATTATTTTATTTTTGACCACAGACTGTGAGGCCTTAAC